GTAACCACCAGCACAGCACTCTGTCTATCCCCAGATTCCTACACGCAACCTGCTACATGGTAGGTGCTCAATACAGATTTGTTGATGGAATGTCCTCCCTTTCTGAGGTACCTTTAAATGAATGATATGCCCCTTGGACACAATGCCCATGTCTTTCAGGTCTTCTTCTTCCAGAAGAAGCAGCCGCTTCCCCGTGATGTTGTTCTCCTTAAACAAGCTTGCATATACACTCATCTCTGCTGAAGAGTCACCTGAAGGAAGTGATCAGAAGGCGGAATAAAATTAGCCTAAATCCAAAGCAAAGTTAGCTCTATGAACTAAGAAGGTAACTTATTCCACTTGCCTTTTCTGACGAGCTGCTGAACCCAAAAATACTGTGAAAGAGAGGACATACATGGTTTTGAAGATTTGCACTTTGTCAGTGGCCAGTCTTAACAGTAAAACATATGCTTTTCAACAGATGAAAATATCATTAATTCCTAGCTCAACCACAAAGGCAAATTGGAAGTCATTTTGTAGTTTTAAAACCTCAGGCTTTCAATTTGGCGACAACCCTCCCTTCAGGGGTCTCAGACAATTGAAAGACTGCTGGTTTCCCTTGGTCTTTGGGAGATATCTTACAATCCTTTCAAGAGGGCTCTTACTTAGAGAGATTTTTTCCATTTACATGCTGGTGGTCCCTTGGATTGCTGAGGGACACCAGTTTACCCAGGAATTGTATGAGTGACAGGGACCACACAGCAGTGGACTGAGAAGTGGACAGAATGTGCCCTCTGTTTTAGCCTGACCGAGTTGCCCTGGACAAGTCAAAGCATGGAGCTTCCTGTGCAGGAGGAGGCTGGGTCCAGTGACTCTTCGTCCTTGTACCTCACCTGGCACATGCTTACTGGTAACCTCCCATGTTACCTGGGTGAAGGGAGGCCAGATTCAGTCCCTCTGATTCTCTGGGAAGACCTCAACACTGGAATTTTATGTAAACGGCCTGGAAACCACTCAACTTCAGAGCAAAGACTAAAAATAGCTGTTAGAACTCAGTGCTTTTTAGGGGCCGGCCCGGTGGCACACTGCTACAGTGTGCCGCTTGGGAGCGTGGTGGCGCTCCCGCCGAGGGTTCGGATCCCACATACAGACCGGTTCCCGCTCACTGGCTGAGTGAGGTGTGGGAGCAACACCGAGGGTTGCGATCCCGTTGCTGGACACGAAAAAAGACAAAAAGGAAAAAAAAAAAAAGATTTCTTTTCAAATGAGATGAGCGAACTTTGCAGCTGGAGATTAAGGGATTACATCCAGGCCTGTGAATAAAGGAGACCCTAAGTCCTTTTTCCCTGTTCAGTGAGACTGGCAGGAAAGTGAGAATCACTGGGGCTCAGTGAATGGGAAGAAACAGAGGCAATTCATGCCAAGTTTCCTTACCCTGCAGAAGCCAAAGAGGTTAGCTAATGTCGAAAGCACTTTTACTTCACCAGAGTACAAAGGGCAGAGAGGGAAATGTCCTGGCCCAGAAACCAGGTTGAGCTAGGTAAATGGACCTTCTGCAGAGTTCCTAGTAGCCAGTTTGTAACTTGTGGCACCTGGTCTGTTGCCCAGGGTGTGGCCCATACCTGCTAAGGCTGGCATTATAGCTTTTTATTCTTTTTCACTTAATGATATCCTGAGCTGGTAAAACAGACCTGGACAGGCATAAGTCCCTGAGGTCTCTGACCAGGAATTTTCATACCTGTTTTGTCACTAAGGAAACAGATATGGAGATGGAACAGGCAAGTAGGATTGTTCCTCAGGGTTTCCACCCAGAGTGTAGAGTGTAGGACTTCCTTTGGACTTAAAGTCTGCCTGCATCCTCTCAAAGACATGGAGCTTCTCTGGCTACAGCTGCAGAGAGTGTCTGGGAGCACTTGTGTCCATTCCTCCTCGGGAAAGCCAGAGTTAAGGATAGCAAATATGGAGCTGTCACCTTCCGAACGGGCCTAAGGCAGGAAGGAAACCCAGTTCAGTGGAACCCCAGCCCAGCACTGCCTTTACCAGCTCCTTTTCCACCATGCTTCAAGTCCATACCTGGCATTTCAGGAAAATTTAAGAACAATTTCTTTTTCCAAGTATGTTCATTTGGTTTCCTGGGCCACAGCTTGAATTCCATCATTGATATTTATTATTGCATTCTGGAATACTTTTAGAGCAAATAGGGAGGTGGAACCCTCTTATAAGATTTGAAAAGACACTTGCTTTGCTCGTGAGGCCTTACTATCAAGCATTACTGCATTAAAAACAGAAAAAAATTAGAATTTGTCAACTTCTCCTAGTTGGATTTTCCTAAGCTGCATTTTTAACCTTGTGGACAAATTATGAAACACTTGCCCAGGTCAAATGAGGCATTAACAGAAGAGGCTTACCACGTCATCTTCAGTCCATGCACCAATCTCAAAGGAAGGCAGCAGCTGCGTGGGAAATACGAATGAAATGAAAAAAAAATAACATTATCACTGTCTTTTTGGTTTCTCCTTGTCTCCCTTTTTTTAGCTCTCAGCTGCTGCTCTGACTTGGTTCCTCCTGATGGTTAGGTTGAATGGAAAATAATACTCTTGACTTGGAGAGGAAGTTCTCAGTGCTCCAAGGATTTTGACCCCAGAAGCCAATAAAGTACATCAATCTCTCAGTAACAATTCATTGTACCATGTGAGCTGTTTTAGCAGAGACTTTGCGTAAGTTGGTGTATTCCTCCCTTGGCATATGGCACACCAGAAGTGGTTTTACATCCCACAATGGGGCCTCAGCAGTCAAGGAATTTTTGACATTTGTCAGATACCAGAGCCTTCCTCGGATTTCTTAGTCAACACAAGGATTGTTTGATTATTAGTAAAAATTTGAAAGCAACCACTTAGTAATCTGATGACTTTTTAATGCCTATTCTCATAGGGGAAGTTCTAAGTGTTTAAATATCTCACTTGCATTATATTTTTAAAACCAAATACTAGGACCCTTGGATGAAGGACATATGAAATGGGAACTGTTCTAAGAAACCCTGGTTGCAAGTTGTTCTAACTAAAACAGACTAAAATATCTTTCTGTCAAGTACACAAGCATGAATGAAGACTTTTGCAAAGGACTTTAGCCCATACCATTTTCAGAGCAAAAGAGCTACTTGCTTCAGTATGTCTAAATAATAAATGCTTACATAATTTGAAAAAGTCTGTGTGTCCTACGAGTTGAATTAATATGGTACAGCTATTAGCTTTAACTAGCTTAACTTGCCAAAGTGTTTGGATTGCTTATGAGATAACATGGAAAAGTGTCACTCAACCTATTGCAAATGCTTTTTTGTGGGTGAGCTGAAGAAACAAGATGATGGATGAGTCAATCCTTCTAACCTGTGGGCATTTATTTTGTACTCACATGCTCAAAACTCTGCTAGGAAAGGCACAGCCCCTGTCTTCAAGGAGCTTGTAATTTAATTGGGGGGTCAAACAGGGATGAATTATATATGGGGAGTCCAAGGCCATCTTCATCTTGATTCCACTCAGTGCCTAACACAGTGCCTGGCATACGATACTTGGTACATTTTTGTTGAACAGTTTTGTAGAATGACTACGATTGAAGGATGCATTTACTAATGCCACATTCTCTGGTATAGAGTTCAATGTCTGTGGATATTCAGAAAGGGTTTCACTGAATGAGGTGGGGAAATGGAAGGCAGAGTGGCTTGAGCTGGGTGCTGCAGGGCTAGGAGAAGAAAGGTGATTCCAGGTGAAGAGAAGTGACAAGGCAAAGAACTGGCAGAGGTGGGAGAGGAAGGGAGAGAAAGGAAGGCAGGGCAGGGTGTGTCCACCTAGCTGGAGCACGGGATGCCGTGAGTTCATAGTGGAGGAACAAGGGGAAATGAAGCAGACTCAGGGGGCCAAGCAGATTTAAAACAAAAACAAAAACAAAAACCCTACTGGGTAAAATAAGACTGTGTAGGGATTGAGTATTATACCAAGTTGCAAGGACCTGAAGTGTATAGTGAAGTCAATACTGTTCTGTATATCCTCTGCTACTCCCATGTGCTTCGATTCCTACAAGGGTTGCCCTTTATCTCCTCTGAGACACTCGAGGTATGTAGGGATCATCAAATGCACTCACCTGCTTTAATAATGCAGAAAGGAAAAAGACTTGAGGAACAGACTCTAAAACTGAACTTGATCAAAGAAAATACATGACAAGTTTTATTTCTTCACAGGGCAGCTGGATACAGCTGCAAAAACATGTCATTCCCTTCTCCCATCACGGAAACAAATGTAAAATAAGGAATTTTTTGATTAATTCAAGAAACAACTGAGTTACAGAAATATTTCACTGCATCAAGTTTCGCTTCTATAGGAAGTGTGTGTGTGTGTGTGTGGAGGAGGTAGTGTGTAATGTTTTGATTTTTACACAGTTCCCAAATGTTGTGCTAAACCAAAATGAGCAATAAGTATTTCTTGAATAGAATAAAGGTTGTAAATGAAACAACTAATCAATACCAACATCTTTGGTTTTCATGTCAAAAGGAGAGGAGTTTCCTTTGCTCTGAGGCTGGCTCATCAATGTGATACCAAGGGAAAGGCACTGGATTCAGTTTGATACTCACTCCAGCAGGATCTTTGCAGATGCTTGCAAAGATCAGTGAGAGGAAGGCTGGAGCCAGGCACTGCATCAAGATGATTTGAATTTGGCAAGACAGGGGATAAGAGTTAATGACCTCCAGCCACAGAGTGGCTTACCACTTTTTTTATGTTTTCTGTACCTTGTTAACATATCAGTGTATCTGCTGTAGGATGAGTTCTAAGCCTTTCTTTCTTTAGGGATTAAAAAAATCCACTTCATGACTGCCCCACCACTTTACAAATTCATTATTTACACTCCAAATGATTTCAGGAGAGAAAAGCTAACACTCATGTGCATGCATGTGACAATGATTCCTTCAAGGGATGTTGGGGATCCAATCTAACAAAGATCTTATATACACAGCAACACATAACAAAGGCATGTACTGTCAAAACGTTTATTGCAAAATGGAGTCTTAGAACAAAGGAAAGCAAAGTTCACATCAAAATGAAATGTATGACACCAACTTGGATTTCTGAATACATTGTGGACTTTGTGCTGAAATATCAAATTCCAACTATAAAGTCAGTAACTCAATAGTCTAACCACACAAAAGTAAAATTTAATCTTCCATACAAACATTATACAAGATATTTGGCATAGGACTTGCTCAGAATAACATTGCAATAGAATAAATGAGAAAAAGATTTTGTTTTTTTTTTAAAAAAAACCAACAAAGTGATAATGCCATCTATTCAAAGCTCACACTCAAAGAATATAAATATTTTCTATTATTTAGTACAAAATTTTTAAGAGAGTGCAAAAGCAATATGTGCAGTGTATGGTATCTGACATTAAAAGATATACTATTCTGCACACGATATAATTTATGTAGGTGCTTGAAACTCGTGGTGAGTCCTCTAGATTTCCTGATAGACACACATTTTTCATCATAGAAATGCCGCATCTAGAGCTATCAGGCTATGCTACAATCAAAAGAATAGAACAGACTCTTCTCTGGCAATGCTTGAAATCTAAACAAGAAAACAGTCTTACTCAACAGCAGCAAAAGGTGCCCGATTATAGAAAAATTATGCTCTATTACATATGTGGTGAGACTCTGCTAGTTTCAAAAGGGTACAACAAATCCAGTGTAACAAAAAGCAAAAAAAAAGAATCAACATTTAACTCAGAATAAGTTTTAAAACTCTTACCACTCTAATGAAAACTCTGAAAAATAAAGCTATATACATAGTAATGCTATGAGAAGTGATTCTGGATTTCTCCTAAATCCTTCCTCCACACCTAGTTTCTTGTTTTTTTAAATGGGGATCAAGTTTGAATACATCAGCTGGTGTTAAAGTCTAACAAATCCACTGCATATTAAAAATCACTGGCTAAAAACCATGCTTTGACATTTCCAGAGCATCAAAAACAGTGTGCTATGTGCCTTCAGCCTCTTCCTACTGATTCTATAAAATATAAAATGTAATTCTGCTTTTAAAAAATACAGAATTTTTTTTTTCTGTGAGGAAAAGGGGTCTTTTAAATTATTAGCCTGGCTACTTTGCAGAATTATAGCTACCTCAATGAGGTTTTTCTTTTTTTATTTATTGTGGAATCAGTGTATAAGAAAGTGACACTCCCGCCCCCCCGCAGGCAGAATTTAGCTGTTCTGTAAAGTTTCTACCAGCACTCTTAAGGGGAAAGAAGCCATTTCCACAAATAGTGATTTAAGATAAAGCCACAAACTTACAAAACTCAGATTGTGTAGTTGTAATTCTGAAAATGCACTTTTTTTTTTTTTTTACTTGGGTATTTTGTTTAGGGGGAAAAATTAGACAAAGAACTCAAACTTCCAGGTTTAACAAGTTTCTCAATGGGGAAGGGCCAATGCTAGTGATATTTTGGATGGAACTTTTTACTGAGTGGGACTGTCTCTAGCAAGCAGGATGTTACCATTCCTGGCACGGATTGGCACCCCAGTCACCGTAACAACCAAAAATACGCCCCCGCACGCCCAAACCCCATTAGGTTACAGCGCTATACCAGTTGAGAACTACTAGTAGGGTGTTATCAAATTCTACAGGATCAATTTTATGAGTAAAGAAAAAAAAAATGAAAGGTGATACATTTTCAGTTGTATGACTGACAATTATTACCACAATTTAGAGTTTCAATTCTTACTTTGAAACCTTAAATTTTTCAGTTTTTCTTTACTTCTCCTCTTTCTAAATGTACATTTTTGTAAGTCTAGTAACTGGAATTAAATCCAACACTGGTAATTTGCCATTTCAAAAATTGATCTGAAAAGTGATTAGAAGCTGCACAACTAATATCATCATTAGAAATTCTGCATATGGTTAAACATTTCCTTTTAAAATCAATAAAATCAATAGAGTCTAAATGAGTGAGAACACTATAAAATTCTCTTTCTATGATTCAGAATTCAGGGATGTTTTAATATTTTCAAACCACTAGAAGGACACTGATTTGGAACAGAAAGTAAAATAGCCAGTACTATAATGTTGAATGAATCCAGTCCAATGCTAGGCCAATTCTGCTATATTCTAAACTCTTGCACCTGCTTTATGGTAGAATATTAAGCTATGATCATCTCTGGAATATTGGTGAGAAAGACAGTAGCAGTTAAGAGATACTTTTCTTTTTGGCCCTATTTGGATGCTTTTATTAACGTACCAAAACTTTATGTATAATCAGATGGACTCACATGTAAATTCCAAAAAAAAAAAAGAAAGTCAGTTTCATTCAGTTAATATGTTCTAAATTTATTGCTAATTATTCTTAAATGAGAAGCAAGGTTTGCATTCTTGCATAAAGTACACAAATCCTGAAATTAGCCACAGAAATCCCTCCGCCTTCTTCAGCTTTGCTCAAATACTACCTTATCAGGGAGGCCTTTTCTGACCACACTTTAAAAACCTCAACACTCCTCCATGGGATTAATCCTCCCTCCCTGCTTCATTTTTCACCATGTACTTATCAAATGTTAACATATTATATAATGCATTTGTATTGTTGGATTGTCCATCCCTGCTTACTAGCATGTAAGCTCCGTGTGTGCAAAGATTTTCGTCTAGCTGTTCTTTAGAAGAGCACCTGGCACAGAGGAGGGGCTCAACGAATATTTGTTAAATGGATGACTTTATCTTTGCCTGGGGAGATGAGCAGTAGCTTTTAAACCCCAAGTCTTTGGCTCTTCCCTTCAGACTGCTGACCAGAGTCCCAGGGCATGTTGGGAAGGCAAGAGTTGCAAGCTGTCCCTTCCGTTCCACCCCAATATTTTCTGCTTGAGTGGCCTGACTTGAGTCAGGGGGTACGTACCTCCCTGTGTCTGAGAACTTATGTGTGCATGTTATCTGGATCTAAGCATGTACAGACAGAGAAACTGTAGCAGAATGGGTATGTGGGGAACCCACCTTCTAGGGGAAAGGTTTACCTGCTCTCTCTGTGTTTACTTGTCTGTGGGTGGTGGCACTGCCTGCAAACACCTCAGACCAGGTAAACCTGGCCAGGGCTCATAGTTTTCGAAGAGCAACACAATAAATCTGTTTGTATAGCTTACATTCTAAGAATGTTGTCTTTATCTTTCCTGAAAGCTATCTACTTTCGATTTCATCTCATACTACTAAGCAAACATCACTTGAAATTGATAGTTTAGTTTTCAAGAAGGTTACTGAAATCACTTATTTTTTAGTGTCTTTTCATTGGCACAATTAATAGTAGCTAATATTAACTGGCCACTTACCATGGGCCTGGTACTGTATTAAGTGCTTTACATATATTATTTATTTTAATCCTCACAATAATCCTTTGAAGCAGTTACTATTATTATTTCCATGTTAAAGATGAGCAAACCGACACACAGAGATTAAATAATTTGACCAAGATTGTACAGCAAGTAGGCCCAGGATTCTGAATCATGATCAGACTCCAGATCCCTCTTTTTATGACTATGCTATAGAGACTGTTTTCCATCTCATACCCAGGACATTTTATTAGTTATTTCTCTCCAAATAAAAGCTGGCACAGCATACTGATCATTTCATCATACTTTTCAGCTCTTAATGGGGCAGCTCATATAATGCTTCAAATTCCAAGAGGCTTTCTATGATTGAATACAGTTTGAAATGGTATTAGATAATATCTATGATATCCTTTCTTAAAACTTCCATAAAAAGAACCATCAAAAGTCTTTCAGTTTAATAGTCAAATGAGATTGCTTGCTAATTTAGATTGAAAAAAGACTTTGCTCTTTTGCCTTTATTTATATAATTGCAAATGTTTTGTAATTTTTTAAAACACTATTTTATAGTTTAAACAAGCTTTGAAAAATATGTGATAATACTTTGAAAATATCTCTGGTTAGACAGGTTTTCAGAGTAGCACCTATATCTACTTCTGTAAAACACCAGCAACACTGAAAAGAGTTACAAAAAAAAAAGACAACTTTAGAGGGTTTTTGTTTTTTGGCAGCTGCCTGGTATGGGGATCCGAACTCATGACCTTGGGGTTATAAGGCTGCACTCTAACCAACTGAGTTAACCAGCCAGCCCCCAAAAAGACAACTTTGGAAGACTGGATTTGATACAGAAAGGACCCTTCAGCCTGAGTTTTTGTCTAAATAGAGATAACTTATCTTTATTATTCCTTTTATAATATTTAATTTTCTCTTTAAAATATTTCTCTGTATATTTAGAATCCAGGGTCATTATGCTCCTCTGGAAAACAAATAACCACACATACCCCCCTTACTGGAAGTGCAGAGCAGGCATGTACCCAGCACTTGCATGCCTGGAAGCATCCCTTTAAGACCATATATTTGTCTTTGTATAAAGTACAATCTAAGCCTTGGATGACAGTGTGTTGTTGTTAAGAAGTTTCCAGGGCTAGCGCTGGTATGAAAGCCTGCAACATGTGCTACTGGTTTCAAATTAGAGTATTTCGTCTTCAAATGTACTACTGAGAACATTTCTCGGGTTTTACTTTGAGTAGCTGTGCTATTTAGAATTGAAAATTCTCAGCTTTTAGGTATTTCTGAAGAGCATTTTGTTATAACCTTCTTTCATCTCAATTTTTTTGTTGTTGGATTTTGTAGCCCCTATCAATCATTTCTGACATTACAGTGTATTGCCATAACAACAACAAAAAGTAGTATGTTACAAAAGAATCGTGTCAAAGAAGAATTAGGAGTTAAGAGTGCTTGTTCAAAATGTAAGTTTTCTTGACCAATTTAATAAAGGAAATAAGGGCAAATATATTCATTAAAAAAAGTCTTCTCAGTTAAAAAATGCTATATTGTATATAGAATCACAAATTTCTATAAACAGGCACCACATTTGCTGATTCATAAATATACCTTTTTTGCTTAACTTTCCCATTTTTCTGTAAGCAAAAATAAATCAAAAGTAAAACTGATAAAGAAATCACTGTCATATAAATGTGATTGGCCTAAAAATGTAGTGCTTGGTTTTCTGCCTCCTTACTGATTTTGTATAGACTGATAGCAAGTTTCTTTTGGTTTTTTTTTTTTTTTTGGAACATTTTCAATTTTATTACTTTGCTTTCTGTTTTCATTCACTATTATTATCCATGTCATTATCCTCGTCCTCACCATCATCGTCATCATCGTCACCTTCTGACAAGTCAAAATCAATGAACCCCAGGGCCATGTTGACTTTCTTTCCCCTTCTCTTAGATGTGGTTTTGGAAGAATTCTGCTTGGCTTGCATGTTTATCTGCATCCCAGAATGCAGCACAGCTCCTGCTTTGTTCATTGAGAAGATATCCCCAAAGCCCATCAGCATCATGGCCTGCAGGCCTGTGTTCATGCCATGGCCCTCCCCGTTACTGGTTGCTGTGATCTGACATGACATCTCTGCACTGTTTGACTCCTCTGTTTTAGATTCAAAGTAAGACTCCTCAGACATTCTTGCAGCAAGAGGCAAGAGAAGCTATCAAAAGGGAAGAAAGGACAGAAGTAAAAAGAGAAATTAGGACCAATTTAAATAAGGGAAATAGACACCAAAAAATTAGTTGGTACTATGCAGGAGGTAAATGATTAGTGAAGTAAGTGAATGTAGGGAATTATTTGGGAATTCATTTAATGGCAGATTTGGCTGTAGCATATTTGCCATAATTTGTGAATGAGAGAATAAATCACAACCAAAAGTTTGCAAAGCACCACAGCACGCCAAATTTCAAATGGAAAGGAAGTTGCAAGTTTTAAGCCCTCATTTTGCTCAAAACAAAATAGCTTTTAGGATTTCTCTTAAATTTTCCCAATTTCACTTTCACATGGAAATATTTAATGATTATACTAAAAAAATTAAGTTGAAATTAAATCTCAAGTAAAAATTAAGAAACCTTGTACTGAAGAAGAAAAGCTTAGAGGAAGCATAAAAGCAGTTCAATAGTCAATACAATTCTAGGGAAATTTGGCTTGTTAACTTTTTAAGCTAGAATAATACTCTAACTATACAGTAAAAATGAGTTTAGAATTCACTTGCTTCCATTTATTATTTATTGCAGCCAGATCTAATACTCTTTATTCAAATTATTAAGTAATTCACTTGTGAACAAATTCTAGATTCTATCTCTAACATTTAAGTTGTACACAAGTACATAAACACACGTGAAAACTGGAAGGAAAGGAAAGGAGTATTAATTTACATTGCTACCTTTCTCTGTTCTCTAATATTCAAGTTTCCTTCTTTTAACAGAAGTTTTTTCTAAGAATTCTCCTTCTCTCAGTGGTTGCAGACATTTATTGTCTACCTTATATAATGATTTTGAAGAGCCAATCTATTCCCATAAATGTTTGGTCATATTCATTTCGGGGGTAAAACTGTTAGGACATGAAAATGTTACTCTTCTTTTAAGAAATAAGCAAATTAAGGCTTGTATTTTTGGTGTGGCTTAAATATGGATAAATTTATGATAATGTACAAATAATATAACTGTGGGATGAGTTTTATATTCTGGGTATAAAGGTACAGAATATTTAGGAGCAATATCCTAATTTTAAATTGAAGTTGCTGGTGATTTTTTTAAAAAATAGCTCACTCTATTAGGAAAAGACTTCTGGAATTGTTAGTTCAATAATTCACATAATTCACCTAAAAAGTACTAGTTATATAGAAGAAAAAAATTGCTTTAGATCTTTAAACACTGGAAACAGGATAGATTTCCCTTGTACTCAAACTTCCTAATTTCTCAGATTTGTTTTCAATTATTAGATACTCTTGGGAACTCTTTGTTGCTTGTTTATTTTAATTTTTCAGGGACTTTTCCTCACAGTAGAGTCTAGAGATCTCAACAAATATCTCTCAAATATGCTTTAATCTTAAAAGAAATAAAATTTTTACATCAAGCTTCAAGTATAACTAAAAAATAAATATTATCCATATTTATGCATAGAGAAATTCATCTTCCAAAATATCTCTTATTAGTGTTGTAGTTTTAGGGAAATAAACTGTCCTTGAAATTAATTCAATTACAATTTTTTATGAAGTTACGTAATGTTAAACTTTAAAAAAAGATGAAACTACACACAGAAAAATTTAAACCTCTAGCCACTTCCTTTTTAAAAAGTTCATTTTATCTTTCAGAAATCTCAAAGTCAACCAGAAACTAGATGTGAGGATAAAAGAAAATACCTACTTATAAAACACCTGAGCATAAACTTTCTTTCCTTCAGAAATACGAGCTTTAAGCGGAAAAGGCATTGAAAGCAAGTACTGTAAAGAAAGAAACTTAGCCCTCATAAGTAAAAAAAAAGAAGAAAATCTCATTGAGATTGTGCTTCATGCTGTCCGTTGTTAGATGGTAGCCTTCAGAGCAGTTCCTTTACAAAAAGTTTTCTGGAGTTAAAATGCAAGCATACAACCTGCTGAGCACTCCTAGCGTTTTATTATTTATTACACAACTATGTTATTCATAGCAATAATGCGCACAAGGCAGCCCATAATTTCTTAGCAAAACCAATGCCAATAAACCGAAGAAAGGTTCTAAAGCAAACTCTAATAGGTAGTTAAAGTTTTTCTTACAATACTACATTTAGAAGAGTCAAGCCATGCAGTGCCTTACAGCTTAAGATTTCAATGCATTAAAAAACAAAGCAAAAAAATTCTGTCTTCAGAAGAGGTGCTACAGGGACAAGTGCTCGGTCTTGCTCCTGCCTCTGCCCCTCCTCGGCCCTGGGAGAAACAGTGCTCCTGTGCTCACCCCTAGGGTAATAATGCTTTCTGAGTTAATTCAACCAGAACAGGAAACCTCCCTCAACTTCTTTCTTAACAGCCAAGTTAAATTCACAGAACTTATAAAATTTGGAACCTTTTTAACGTCCCATGATAGTCTTATATATATAGCAATTCAATTCTTATTTTGGGATTCCCAAGATAATCAAAGTCATTTTTCAAAAAGTTAGATCTGGTAATAAACATTTAACCTCACTGTTATCTTTTCTTTTTTTTTTTTTTGGATATCAGGTTGCTTCACACAAGTTGAAAAAGGAGACAAACTATTTTATTCTTTATACATTGGAAAATACTTTGTAACTAGGCATTAACTACTTAATCAAGATTAAGACTTAAAGATAGAAAAATTTTTGAAGATCACAAAATGAAGGGCATTTAAGTATTTTTTGGCATAGTCGCCATAGCAACTATCAAAAATGAATTTAAAATATGTGAGTTTACTTTTAATCTACCATTACTTAGGATTTTAAGTGGATAAATATTGTCCATTAAAACACCTGGAAAACCCCATTATAAATTTATATTTAATTCCCAAAAATGTTAAGTAATTTAAAATAGGAACAAATACTGAAATTTGAATAGACTTTAATATATCATATCAGCATGTAAACTCAAGGTTAGTGTATAAACAGTAAAATCCTCAAAGCTCAAGGTTAGTGTATAAATTATAAAATCCTTATAAAGAATTTTTATATTCCTTTAAGTACAAGACTTGGGAAAAAAACAAGATACTTCCTGGGTATAGTAAATTATGAAGTTCGTCCTGGGAGAAGTCTTTTTCCAATCTTTTGCTGCCCATGATCAAAACACTAAATTGAGTAAGGTATATTAATGCTTGCCATTTATATGTCTAGCTCTATGTTAGCTCTATTTTAGAAGGAAGACGTGGTTAAGTTCTGATACATCAAAGACTTTCTTAGTCAGCTGCTTTGGAGTTACATTTATTAATTACAGATGGCCTATAAAGAGTTAATCAGTATTTAGGCACATGTTCTGGGGATTTAACAGATGGTGTGAAAATACATTGGATTTTATTTTTGTAATTCTAATTTACAAACACACTGACAGAATAAGAGTTCTTAAGAAAAAAACCAGAAATAGGGTAAGTTTTTCTTCTAAGTTTCTGGCATTTTGTTAATTGAAATTAGATAGGAATGCTACTTGAGTGTAAATGCAGGCCCTTTACCACACAGGCATAACGCAGGGAATGAGGAGGTGGCAGGAGGCGGGGGAGAGCTGCCATGCTGCCATGCTCAGCCACGGCTTCTAAGGGCTGCAATGGGAAAGATGAGGAGGGGGAGGACACTCACCGGGGTGTTGGACTGCTCCGTCAGCTTTTGCTCCCACATCTTTAAACGTCTTTCTCGTTCTTTAAGCTCCTGTTCTTTGAAACTGAGATCACGCTCTAGTTTCTTTAGCCTCTCAAGAGTTGCCTCGATTTCGCACCTGCAAAGGGATAACTGGTTTAAGTCTCAACTTAAGGATGGCAAATGCTTAGTAGGTCCATCAGAACACTAAATGAAGTAAAAGACTAATGATTGTGTTTTTAAATCAACCAGGAAACTGCCAGAGAAGGAATCTTTCATATCCTTAAAAATCAACAGGTAGTTTTTAGTTTGTAAAAATAAGCTCAAAATATTTCAACAAAGCACTGAAGAGCCTCTGGGCTGCAGCATAAGCTATGGAGCTGGTGTTCTGTTTTAGTCTTTTGAAAAATGCTTACACTCATCTACCTCTTTACAGTTTACAAAGCACTATTATATATTATCTCATCCTATTCCCATAACAACTTCAAGAAACAGGTATAAATCTTGTACTCAGGTTAGGTGATCAACATCACACCATTAATAAGTGGCTGAGATGGCACTTTAACCAACTTACTGGCTGAGTAACCCAAGCAATCAACTGCTTAACACGACTCAGTTTCCTTAGTTGTACGGGGTGGTGGTTATATTACATCAGGGCTTCCCAACTTGCCTGATCCTAAGAATTACCTGGGAAGCCTGTTAAAATACATAAATAAATAAAACAGATTCCTAGGACCCTTCCTTGGAGTTCAGAATTCAGCAGGGCTGGATGTGCCTAGAAATTTCCATTATTTAACAAAAGACCTAGGTAATTTTTACAATCAGGCAAGTGTAGGAAATCCCAGGCCAGAGGAACTCTGAGGTTCTTTTTAACTTTAATAATTTTTTAAAAAGTTCCCTCCTTAGTCTCTATAGGCCAACCAACCTCACCTCTTGGAACAATATGCTCAGTTATAAAAACCTCTCCTTCATATAAATTGAAACTAGTAAGAAGGCTCAGCACAAACTTTTTTCTCCTTCAGGGCTGTCACAACATTTAAGTCTAAATTTATGCTCTGAGAACTGGAAGTTCTTTCCCTTGGGTTTCTGAAGAGCCTTTAAATAAGCAACAGTAATGAGAGAATGAGAGGATAACAGAGGGGGGGAGGGCGGGAGGAAGGAAAGGCTAAAGAAAGCACACTGAAAAAAGAATGCAGAAGGAGGAAAAGCCTGGAGACAGGTAGTATTGTGGATCAGCTGCTGAGTGTTGCCAACAGCCTGCACGACAGACTGCATGATCGTGGTTAAGACATTGAGTGTGGAAGGTAGAAGCCCCCAGATCTAAGTTCGTGAATATATGTAACCAACATCTGCCTTTTTATTACCAGAGAAAATCAGAATAAGTGGACAGCTTATTCCAATGCTTTTATAGATGAGAAGTAAATGAATAAAAACAAAAAGGTTCTGGGTATTAACTGGCAAAACCCAACTCATGGAAAAGCTATTGAGGTGAGTCTGAATTAGGGCCCAACACTTCCCTGCTTGTCTGAAAACTACCTCAGAGCAAGGGAGGTAGCAATAAAGCATAAAAAGCCTCTTCTGTGTCACCCACGAATATCAAGACTGATATCTGAAAAATTAGAACAGAATGTAAGTAAAGTCACACTACAGTCTGTAAAGAAAGAAACTAAATCAGCAATCTTTCAGAATTATTATTGTATCATAAAGTAGAAATTTTATCCCTGATATTTTTGACAAAAATATGCCCATTCATACAGACAAAAAAAGTTTGGTTTTATTTTTTAAATGGAGGACTGAGAAAAAAAAATCAATGTGGAGAAACTTTGGATAAACTTTTGTAACCAAAAAAAAAAAGAGTGACCAATCTTCAGTCAATGAGAGTGTCTGCGGGTGACAGGGAGGCCCTGGGCACGCTCAGTGGGAGATGGCAGTGGCCTGGGCTGCTCATCTATGCAGTGCTTCTGCCAAGCCAGTCCCAGTTCTCCTGCCAGCAAGACTGATCTTACTGATGTTCTTTTTGATAGGGTAAATGACCAACACATTCTATTTCACTTGTAATTTAAGCCAAGGATTCATCTCAACTTCCAGCTCTGGGAGCCCACTGAGATTTTGAGCCCTTCCAGAAAAAAAGATCAACAGTTAATTAAGCCAAAAGCTGTGAGACAGAAACAAACACTGGCTGAGTAAATATTCTTCATCAATCTGTCCCTTCAGGCCCGCCTTTGCAGGATCTGAAAAAGTATGCAAGATTACGTGCCATAGAAAGGTAACTCAAATCCAAGGACAACATAAAAACAGCTGCACCCCCTTGCTGTTCTTTGCTTTTATTGGTACATTATTTTGCATCAAATACATTTGTTGATGCATTTATATTAGCTTCCTGTTCTAAAAATATAGTTTAAGTGTTTTAGTTGATGAAAATGATTTTCTCTTACACCAAATCCAACCAAAGTCAATTTCAACTTGTATGAATTTTCCATATGCCAAAAACAGGCAATGAACTGTAATTATCTTCTTTTGTTAGACAAAAACTTATTTTGAAATAAAAGGTCAACTTGTAAAAACAGCAATATAGTATATATATTGCATGATAAATACATAATATGTATATTAAATTTAATGTTATATATTACATGATTTGTGCTAATGTCCAAATTGCCAAGATTAAATTTTTTTGATATCTGCTTTTCGTTTTTAAGAAGGCATGACATGGTGAGAGTACTTTGATCACCAAGGAAAAACAACCAACCAAGTATTTAAAGACATACATGTGAACACTTCGTCACACTACCACATAGCTCACTCAGCACAGACTGCTATAGGCCTGTACACAATCACATGGGTTAATGAAAATTGAAAACATGACCAGCTGGATGACACATTTCCTGTTCTTAATGCTCATTTCCATTATTGCTAATAAGTCAATAGGAGGAGAAAGAAGCTGAAGATTTGATGAGCAAGGAAACGTCTGACACTAGATTTCTTTCCTATCACTTATTACTTCCAAGGAAAGAACACAGTTTATGTGGTTTTTAATAATCTAGTTTTAAAAAGAATTTGCAGAATAATCATTTAATTTTCTAAAAATAGATGTTCTATGTGTAAAGGAAGCTCTACCAGAAGACAATCATTTGGTAGAAATGCCAAAGCAGGATTGGAAACAGACTTTACTGTGCCTCTAAAACTCCTTGGGCACTACTCACATGGTTTCAGACACATGACAAAAGTTGGAGGAAAGAAAAGAGTAGTTTGAATGTGTTGTCCTATGAAATATCCAGATGATCTGATTAAAACACATACTTCTTTTCAGCACTTGGCATATTAAGGCAGTCTTTTCGCCTTAACGATAATCTAAAACACTCATGTCCTGTAATGTTTCTCTTAGCTAAAAAGAAATCTAGTCAAGTGAATATTGCATCCTAATGAGCAGACGGCATGACAATGGCCACAAGGCCAGTAACAGCACTGCACAGCATGTGTGCAAGAGCAGATCAGACCCCTTGGTTCCACTACTGGCTCCATCTCAGTACTGTGTGAACCAGGCAAGTTACCCAACCTGCGTAGGCCTCAGTTTTTGCATCTGTGATATAATTTAGGGTTGCCATGGGGATTAAAAGAAATAAACCAAATGAAGTACATACATCCAGTAAAAACAATGTAAATGACAACCATGTATATTATTATTATAATGAATAATATTATTGCCCATGTTCTTAACCAATTGCCAAGCTCAGTTAAAAGAGCTTTGCTGCTTCTCAAACTGTAGTTTACTGTTCTGGTAAAGATGTTCTCTCTTGAGCTCTCAGAGCAGGATGAACAGTTCCCTGAAAGAGCCACTGAGGAAGCACCCTATGCAACTGTATGCCTTTAAATAAAATATATCCATGTATTTTTCCTCTTTTCTTTCCCACTCTCTATTACCAATTTTATCCTCATTTTTCACCTTGAAGCATTTTAAAAATTAAATTCATCATTCAACTAAACCAGGTTTAATGCAGAAAAAGTACAAAATACAGATATACAAATAAAGAATACTCTTCCATAATCCTATTACTCAGTGATAACACTAATTTTTTTGATACTTTTCTCTTTGTACACATACATATACACATAAATATATATTTTATAAAAAATGAAATTATTCTAACAAACTAGACTCTAGCCTCTATTTAAATCACTTGTCAGATCTGCATTATCATGAAAGGCTCCATATTATTCTGTATGGAGATATTTTTAAGAACCATTCCCCTTTTATTGCACTTTATGCCATTTCTAGTTTTACAGTTCTAAACAATGCTTTGCTGAACAAGTATCCACACATTTTTGCACAGCCTTCCCATTTGTTTTCTTAGGAATAAAGTGGTAGTGGTAGAATTTCTGGGACAAAGAATATGAACATTTTTAGGACCTCTGATCTATACTGCCAAATTGTCCTCTAGAAAGGTATAATTTTCCCACAATGTATGAGAAAGCTGAAAGCATTGGATATTTTCATAATGTAAATTTTTGCCCATTCAATAAATCATGTTTCCTTGTATTTATTTGATTGCTAAGTGAGGTTGGATATTTTTTATATATTTATTAGCTATTTTATTTCCCCTTTTGTGAAATGCCTTTTCATGTCCTTTAGTATGGCATTTTAATTAAAATGGTATTTTAAAGACAGTAACTCTTTGTCTATCACAGTGGTTTTCAATGTGTGGTCTGGGAAACCACAAGACTTTTTCAAAGGATTTTTGAGGTTAAATTGGTTTTCTGGACAGCACTAAGACAGGATTTGCCTTTTCTACTCTCATTCTCTCACAAGTGCAGCATTTTCCAGAGGCTTCATGACATGTGATAGTGCCGTAGGCAGAATGCAGAAGCTGGATTTATTAGTTTTTTAAAATGAATCAATACTTACATATTTAAATTTTTCTGTTATAAATTTTGAAAGTGGTAAATACTGATACAACTCTTTTAAACAAAAGTTCTTTGGAGTCCTCAGTAATTTTTGAGTGTAATGGAGTCCTGAGACCAAAGTTTGAGAACTGCTGACCTATTCTATAGGGGGAAAAAGTTGCAACAACATGTCATTTGTCTTGGAAATTTATTTATAATGAGTAGTGCTTTTGGACATATGAAGGTTTTAAATTTTTATATAGAAAACTTTCCAACTTTCTTCCTGTTTTCTGATTTTGTTGACATATTTCAAAAGACTCCCAATATGAAGGGTATTAATACTAGCATTAAAATCCTACTAATCTTTTGGATAACAGATCAAATAGCATTTCCTCAGGGAATCCTTTTATTATATCCTCAGACTGGATCAGATTTCATGGTTATATGCTCTCAGACATCCAGTACTTTGTCTGTCATAATACTTGTCAAAACGGTAATAAAATAGTTATTTGTATATTTATATTTAGTAGTTTAACATGGGACACTCCTGCTGGAGAGCTCCACGTGTTCTGGGATTGTTGTGTTCTTCACTACAGCCCATTGCCTAGAATGGCACCGGCTGTTCTCATACCAGCAGAAGTGCAATGAATATCTGAATGAATGAATATAAGAATCACTTTTGTCATGGCAAACAAATTAACTTACATATTTATATTCTCTTATATAATATCATAATGCCTTTTTATATTATTACCACAATAGTATTTTCTTCTTTCCCTCCCCAAATATTATTGAGCAACTGCTGCATTCAAGGCCTGTTCTAGATGCTGTATGTACAGTGATAAACAAAAGTGATTGTCTGCCCCTCTTATATTTTAGTCAGTGAGACACACATTAAACAAGTAACTGCAGAACTACTTCTTAATTCCAACAGCATAAAGGCTATAAAGAGGCTCTCAGAGCACATGAAGTGAAACCTAATCTGGTCTGGGGTCAGGAAACACTCCCATGAAGACATGTTATTTTAGCTGCTATCTGAATGATGAACAAGAGCTAAGGTGGTGTGTGAGTATTAGGGGTGGTGTACAGCTGATATAGGATCAGTTTTAAATAGAGGCAAGTGCATTTGCAACAACCCTGAATGGGAAGAAATATGTATCTGTTAAGGGACAGAAAGCCAGAAATCAAGAGGCAGAATGATGCTCTGAGGTTGGTAAGGCAGGAGAACAGAGGGTCTCAGGAGCCTTAAATATTTTGGTCTTTGTCTTCAGAGTAATGGGAACCTATATATGAATTTTAAAGGTGAGCTATCTGATTAGATGTGCACTAATCTATTACTGTAGGAAACAAATATTACTTATGTGTTTTGTTTTATTAATTACTTTAGCCCAGAAAAACAGTCCCTTGTGTCTAGGCTTGAGCTCACAGTATTACTTTTGAATCCCTAAATATTCATTTAACTCACTGACCCTAGACAGATATTCAAAGGAATAAAAATAAATAAGGATATGACAAAACATCAATCAAACATAAAGCCCAAAGAAATGTCTGGTAACAGTAGTAAACAACTCAAGTCATTTTCAAAGTGCATGCAGTACTCATTTGGCATCAGCAGATGGCGTAAGGCATCACGTTACTGCCATGGCTATCAAGAGCAGAGATGAAGTTACTTAAAATCTCTGCTGAGTCAGGGGAGGAATAATGTTAGCTCCCAAACATGCTATTTATATTCATGCATCATGTGACCTGGCTCAAATGTTTTATCCTGGACTTACTTTTTCCACTCATCCAATTTTCTCATTACTAAGTTTGTTTTACACTTAACAAATTTTGATAAGATTTATAATACTCAAAGTTTTCTTTTAAAAGTGTTTTTATAGTCTCTCTGCTCCGTCCACTTAGCAAATAGGTTGTCCTGCAAATTTCAAGGCAAACAGTATTCTTATTTCTTACTGGACAGAGGCCAAAGCTTCCTAACACAGAGTGTATACACAGAACTGTCTGGTAATCATCTTCTGTCTCAGAAGATATGATTCCAATATTCTTTCCAAAAACTTAGACATACAATAAGGCAACAAGCTAAGAGAAACAATCTTTTTTGCTTACATAAGAAATGGAGGACTGAAATAGAAATAGATGAAACAGACTTTTAAAATCTTTTAAAAGTGTTTTTCTCCTAAGCTCTGCTTAGAAATCAGTACTGTCATCAAGGCCTTTGGTTCTCTTCTTCACTGAGGCGAGTCATGGACCTTCGAAGCCAGAGGCTGTCACCCCAGCATCAAGGCTACTCACCTCCACTCTGCCTTGTTGTGCAGGAATGAGTTACACTGGTCAGGAAGGTTCGTGTCATTTGACATGGACTCCAGAATTGAAATGATCTGCTTGAACGACGGCCGTTTCTGAAGAAGAGAAAATAAGCAATCACTTGTTAGAACTTAAAAAAGAAAGGAGATCTTTAAGAGAAAATGTAGGTAGTAATAAGCTCAACAGATCATAACAAAATAAGACAGGATACAATGTCCTGACTCAGTTATTTTATCCCCATCAGATTACTCAGGTTAAGGGAATCATATTCTTTATTTTCAATTAATTATTCATAAAAATAGATTCAGATGTTTTTCTATCATGTGGACTAAAGTTGAGATAATTAGTGGTTTTTCTCCAAATAAAGAGAGAAATTCTCTCTTTTGGGTATCATTAAATCATTAAAAAAAAAATTAAGTCCTTTCAAAATCTATCCATACAATAAAGTTAGTAAAAATTCATGGTAGAGTCTGTGTAATGGGTATGCTAGTGTTCACTGAAAAGTTCTTTAAACTTTTCTGTATGATTCAAAATTTTTATAATAAAATGTTGGGGGAAATATCTACCTATCAACCTGTCGAAACTAATAAAATTTCCCAAATCAGTTGGTCAGAGCAAAAAATCTCCCAATTTTAAAGCCATCATAACTTTATTGTTCTCAATGTTTATTTCACCTTGTAAACAGTTCTAGTGCTAGGACACTGTAAGGTACAGTTCACTAGAAATTGAAAAAGCAGTGGTTTAGTATATGTCTTCAGCTAGCAGCAACTACACTAGTCTATCTCTTTAGGCTCTAGCCAAGGTTGAGACAAAAAGTTAAAACAAACATGGAGAAAAATAATAAGAGGATGGTGCACATTCTCTTTTTATCACACAGCATAATTATACCATTTGTGAACAAATTACAGTTGTAGCAATTAAACATGCATTTGAATTTAGGAGCATAAAAACAGGAAAGAACAATGTTGAGGTAGCTTGTTCTCAGGACTTGAGTGCTTCCCACATTATTAAGAAAAGCAATTTTTCCATTTCTCAGAAATATAAAACTTGGATATTTATTGAGTTCTGCCATTGCTGTTCTCTTTTAAGGGCATGTGCACATGTGTTTTAAAATGAGGGCATAAGTAGCTAAATGTTACTGATGTACATTAAGTCTTCTCATATGCAAACAGGAAAATGCCTTATGTAGGAAACTTGAAAAATACTGTTTGTCTTCTTTAATTTTGTTCCCATCTTAATTGTTCCCATCATGTGTCAGGTTTTAAAAGAAAAAATGTTTGAATTGTTTGTGCAGGAACTAATTATATAACAAATAAAGGACTTTCCTTTTGCAAGGAGGAGCTAATGAATTTTTAAAGAATAATAGTTTTCCCTACATTTAATCATTCTTGAAATAAGGTGAAATTCTTGTAATTGGATGACAAGCATCCTAGAAAAATCTTAATTTTATAGCTAGAATCTACTCTCAACAATGTAGAATTTTGTGGTAATAATATTTTATGAGTATTCTGGTTACAGAATACATCATTTGGTCTAGGACCTTGTGTAAGTTCCTCTTAAGGGGCTTAGGTTCCCTTTAAGTATGTGTAGGTTTGCTTATTTTTAAAAAATCACAACTAGAACCATTTATTAAGCATCTATATATATTATTTCTCTATATGTTACCTTCATTTAATAGATAAGAAAAGCTTGTGTCAGAAAACTATGAATTGCCCAGCCTCACACAGGAAGCACTTTACAGAATCAGGGGCTATGTTCTTAAACATCTTCTGTCACAAAAGGGTAAGATATTACTTCCTATCAAACTCATAGCTTTTACTATTATTTTTTCTCTATTAAGAAATGTCATTATAGGTCTTAAACTAATACTCACCTTTCCTTCCTTCCTTGTTCTCTTCAATAAAATATTTTGAGAACCTTGTGTAAGCCAATAGAATGACCAGATATTTACCTCATACTAGCTTTCTCTTATATACATCCCTCCCTCTTCACTGCAAAAGAACACCAGTTCTACATGTGGGCTGAATTTTTTAATGTAGTTGTTAATACTCTAAAGTCTAAGGACCAAAAAAGAAAAGAAATAAAATACTTTAACCAACTATTGCTCTACATCTGTATACAGGACTGGCACCAATTTCTGATTAATTGCTACATATTTCTAGCCAGAGAACGAAAAGAACTTCTAAAAGCACTAAAACTGTTTCTTAGGAAATTTACTGTGATCTGGCTACTTCAGGCAGCAACAAATTGGCATTTACTTACTAAACTGATGTGAGTGCTACAGAGAAACACATAAAAACTAGCTATATTTCTTTGTGGAGCTTGCAATCCACTTAGGAAAAGATATTTTAAAAAATACAATAGTACAGGTAAGGCAGTAGCCCAGACTGTGGTTTAGGAAGAGGAATACAAATCATGGGCTGGTATAAACAGAATAACTAGGGAAGGCTTGATGATGAAGAATTCAGAAAGAAAAGAAAGAAGAGAATATGTTCAGGGAATGAAGGTATGTAAGATGTATCTAGAGGAAATTAGCAATGAAAGAGTTGGAAAAGTGGACTGTGACCAGATATACAAATCAAATCAAATACAGGTGACATGTAGTAGTTTTATCAGCATAAAATGTTATGAATTTAGGAAATAAAAATCAGTCTCAACCAATAATATGCTGCCTACAAGAAACCACTTCACCTATGAAGACACACATCAACTGAAAGTGAAGAAATGGAAAGAGATATTTCATGCAAATGGAAACCAAAAAAGAGCAGGAGTAGCTGTACTTACATCAGATAAAACAGATTTCAAACAAAGGAAAGTAAAAAAAAGATTAAGAATGTTATATATAGGGCCGAGCCCATGGCGCACTCGGGAGAGTGTGGTGCTGGGAGCGCAGCAGCGCTCCCGCCGCGAGTTCGGATCCTATATAGGGATGACCGGTGTGCTCACAGCGCTCACTGGCTGAGCACGGTGCAGCCGGTCTCAAAAAGGACAAAAAAAAAAAAAAAAAAAAAAAAGAATGTTATATATAATGATAAAGGGATCAATTCAACAAGAGGATATAAGAATTCTAAATATATATGGACCCAACACCGGGGCACCCTGATATATAAAGCAAGTATTATTATACCTACTGGGAAAGGTAGATTTCAACACAATAATAGTTGGGGACTTTAATACCTTACTTTCAGCAAAGGACAGATCATCTAGACAGAAAATTAGCCAACAAACATCAGAATTAATCTTTAATCTAGGTCAATTGGATCTAATGGACATTCATAAGAACATTTACTCCAGCATGTCCAAAATACACATTCTTCTCAGCAGCACACAGAACATTCTCTAGAATGTACCATATATTAGGTCACAAAATAAGTCTCAAAAAATTTTAAAAAACTAAAATCATATCAACTATCTTGTCCAACCACAACAGAATAAAACTAGAAAGGGACACTGGAAACTGTACAATTACATGGAAATTAAATAACACGCTCCTGGGCCGGCCCGGTGGCGCACTGCTACAGTGCGCCGCTTGGGAAGCGCGGTGGCGCTCCCGCCGAGGGTTCGGATCCCACATACAGACCGGCCGCTCACTGGCTGAGCGAGGTGCGGGCGCAACACCGAGGGTTGTGATCCCGTTGCCGGTCCCGGTCCAGTACGGGCGTGACACTGAGGGTTGCGATCCGTTGCCGGTCACGAAAAAAGACAAAAAGGAAAAAAAACACATGCTCCTAAATAATGAATGGGTCAAAGAGGAACTCAAAAAGGAAATTAAAAAATTCCTGGAGACAAATGAAAATGAAAACAAAACATACCAGACCTATGGGTACAGTGAAAGCAGTTCTAAGAGGGAAGTTCATAGCAATAAATGCCTACATCAAAAAAGAAGGAAAACTTCAAATAAACAACCTAATGTTACACCTCAAGGAACTAGAAAAAAAAGAACAAAATCAGTAGAAACAGAGAAATAACAAAGACCAGAGCATAAATAAATTAGAAATTAAAACACAATACAAAAGACCAATGAAACAAATGTTTGTTTTTTTAAAAAGATAAAATTGATAAACCTTTAGTCAGACTAATGAAGAAAAAATAGAGAAGACAAATAAATAAAATCAGAAATGAAAAAGGAAACATTATAACTGATACCACAGAAATACAAAGGATCATAAGAGACTACTACAAACAACCATATGCTAACAAACTGGAAAACCTAGAAGAAATGGATAAATTCCTAGACACATACAGTTTACCAAAGTTGAATCATAAATAACTAGAAAACCTAAACAGACCAATAACAAGCAATGAGATTGAAGCAGTAATAAAAAGTCTCCCAACAAAGAAAACCCCAGGACTACATGGCTTTATTGCCAAATTCTACCAAACATTTAAAGAACACCAATTCTCTCAAACTCTTCTAAAAATTGAAGAGGAGGGAATACTTCCAAACTCTTCCCTTGAGGCTAGCATTACCTTCAGACCAAAACCAGAAAAAGAAACAACAAAAAAAGAAAACTATTGACCAAAACCCCTAATGAACACAGATGCAAAAATCCTCAGCAAAATACTAGCAAACCTAATCCAACAACACATTAAAAAGACCATCCACCACAATCAAGTGGGATTCTAACTAGGGATGCAAGGACAGTTCAACATATATAAATCAATAAATGTGATATACATCACAGAAAAAGCATTTGATAAAATCCAATGCCTCTTCATATAAAAACACTCAACAAATTAGGTATAGACAGAATGTACCTCAACACAATAAAAGCCATATATGACAAATCCACAGCTAATACCATACTGAATAGGGAAGAGCTGAAAGCTTTTCCTATATTAACTGAAACAAGGATGCCCACTCTCTCTGTTATTCTTTTTTTTTTTATTCGTTTCCTTGGATGGCTGTCTCGTATAGGGATCCAAACTGTTGACCCTGGTATTATAACACTGAGCTCTGGGGCCGGCCCATGGCTCACCTAGGAGAGTATGGTGCTGATAACACCAAGACCATGGGTTTGGATCCCTATAAAGAGATGGCCAGTTAGCTCACTTGGTAGAGCGTGGTGCTGACAACACCAAGTCAAGGGTTAAA